TGCATGCATGCATACATGCATGCATGAAACTTTTTTGCCTATCGAGCTATTGTTTGATTGCATATGCACAGGTGTACTCCTGTACTCGCGCTCTCTTGGTTGATGAATTACTTGTTTACGCATTATTTCACTTGCTTGACCGCTCTTTGTATTTATGCATTCGTGTATGAGGCAAGCGTGGGCGCCTGTGATACATTGCAGTCCGGTTACAATAATAAGGAGCCCTACGCACAGACTAGAGTAGAGCATTAAAGAATTGGGGCTTGGACTCCGAGCAGATTCCCGGGATCTTCGGGGTTGATTTGTCTGTGATATCCAGCATAGAGGTTGGGATGTCGGGTTTAGGGTTTTGGGGTTTAGGTTTTGGGTTTCGGGTAGCAGGGTTCAGGGTTTTGGGCTTCTGGGTTTTGGACTGGGATGTAGGGCTTGCAGCTTCCAGACTTGACGAGGGTCGGGTTTAGGGTGCAGCATGTTCGAAAGTGCCTGCATCAGTAACCGCCCTTGCTGCATCCAGTTTTTCGAGCTTGGCGGTCCGGAGAACACTACCAAAAACAACCTAGGATTCGAAGCTGTGTAAAGATGGGTTCAAGCAAGATGGGAGGTTCCAAAATATACTCCAGCTCTCCGGTACCGGAAGCACAAGGCTAGCTCTGATGATGTCTAACCCGAGGGATGATGCCGGGGGGCCGGGGGGAAACGACGGGTTTAAGGTTTAGGGTTTAGGGTTTAGGGTTTAGGGTTTAGGGCAGGGTTTAGGGTCTAGGGGGAAACGACGACGAGAGGAGGACTAGTGTTGATGAGTGCTGCAACTTCGCAGATTTCGTCTTTGCCGAGGCTCCCTAAACAACCCGCAACGGGAGACCTTCGCCAGATCTTCCACGGAGGAGATGTCTGAAGGAGCCTGAAGGCAGGATTGAAAAATTGGGAACCAAGCCGGTTAGGGCTAAGGAGTTTAGGGATTCAGATTCAGGGTTTGGGTCTGGGTGCTATTGGTCTAGGGATGTTTAGGGCGTTCGGAATACAGGCGTTTGGGTTTTTGGGCCCTTAAATTCCCACTCTGGGCAGACAGAAGTCCAGCTTATCATTCATCAGGCGACGGCTTGATCTTAGTAACCTTTATGCCGATTTGTTGTGGAACATCCGGGGCAAATATGCACGTTCCGCCCATCAGCCTGTCATGCGTAGATACATGCAAGTGACAAGATCACCCGCCTGTGGAGATGGAGGAATCTCCACCGACAGCAGCGTTGCCTCCCGACAGACTACAATAGAGGCCTATAGTAAGAATGGGGCTTTGGGGGTATATGATAGTGTAGCTCTGTGCGAAAGGAACCATAACGTCATTTTTCTGACCCTACATGACCAGGACACGGCAAAAAGAAAATGGTCGCCCCCTGATGGGCTGCCCAGTCGTTGCTGTTTGCGCGCATGTGCTTCCTAGTTTGCCGGGACCACACGGCTTGGCGCCTGAAGGCTTTAAAGCCTTAGAGTTTTCGCCTTGCGGTGTCACCTGAACAAGGCCATCGTGCATAATAATTAGTAATAATTGCTAATAATTAATAATAATTAATAATGATTCATGATAATTAATAATGATTTATAATAAAAACTAATAATAATTGCTTCCGCAGGCCTACTGAACTGGACGAAGACTTGCCATCTCGCTCCGCTTCAGCGTTCAGCCAGAGTTGGAAAGGCTGCGTCTGAGGGTTCAGGGTTCAAGCACGCGTGAATCCCGTCTTGCCTCCTCTGACCATGCTCTTGCCATGCACCGTCATCTTGAGATCGTGCCCTTAGAGTAACACAGCCTAAGATAACCAAATCTGGTATAGGCCCTTACAAGACCGGAGCGAATGGCTAGGATTTTGGGTTCGCAACCCAAAACTTAACTCGACACCCCCACACCCCAAACCCTAAACCCCAAACCCCTACAGCCTGCAGTAAAAGCCAGAAAGTTGGAACATAATTTTCCTCATGCCCTTTAGGTAAAGTAGAGGGAGTCCCTGCACTAATCATCCCAATTCCCCAAACCCTAAACCCTAAACCCCTAAACCCCTGGAGCCTAAACCCCTAAACCCTAAAACCCCTAAACCCCAAACCCTAAAACCCCTAAACGCAAATAAAAACCCTAAACCCTAAACCCCCAAACCCTACAACCCCTAAGCCACAAACCGAACGCCAGCCTTACTCTCGTGTGTGGCCGCTGAGGCGGCCGGCATGCCTCAACGAGACTCCACTGCAGGCACCATTGTGGCATGTTATAGGGTTATAGTTATAGGGTTATAGTTATAGGGTTATAGTTATAGGGTTATAGTTGTAGGGTTTTGGGGTTTGGGGTGTTCTTTTCGGGTGCCTTTTTCCACTCCGTCTCCGCAGTAAAGCCTCTGAACGGCAGGCTGACTTACACCCTGTCGGACCCCCTCAGACAAACTCTCAGTACTTCCATTGACACCCTGGTACTTTTCAGTCTCGGCGAGCATCCGTGTCACCCCCATTTTCGCCCTTCTCTTCCAAACAGGTGCCCTCGACACCAGACCTATCCCCCACTTCATCAACCTGGCATGTCCGGCATGTCTCCCGAATCGTATCCAACACCGTATCAGCAGTCCCTGTCCCTGTACTGGTTGGCCCCGACACGGCATCCCTGTCATCAGGGAACTGGAGTTTTTGATCACGATCTTCTGTGCCTGGAGCATGTCCAATGCAACCCCGGCCATAGCATGAGACCACTTGTGCATCAGTGAGCTCCCCTTGTTCCCATTGCACATAAAGATGCCGGAAAGCCCAGAACTCCAGTGGCACACAATCACGTCCGTATCCGGGGAGGCTTTCGATTCCATGCAGTGAGACTCCACAGGCTCCGCGACTTCCTGAGTACAGGGTAGTGGGCTGGGCACCTTCACCGTCGGGACGCTATCCTGATCATTTTCAGCAGCCTGGCCAAACGAGACCCGTACCTCCTGCCCTCCCCTCGCAGCCCAAGTTCCATCCCGCCATACATGGGCGCGTGAGACTCTTGCCCCAAGGAAGGGGGGAGGGGGGGACGAAAGCTCACTAAGCGGGGGCCAATGGGGGAAGCTGCGGAGCAGGAAGGACACGGCCTGTTTTCATCTCACTTGGCGCGCGGTGTCGGCGCCTTGGCTACTGGACTTCTGCAGTGTTCTAGTCGGCGGCGAGCGCTTAATAGGACAACTGACACAAATTTTACATCGCGGCGTTCCTAGGAACGCCAACACCCGCCCTTCCGGGCCCACCAGGCACAGGCATCATGAGCATCATTGGCGTCCCGTTTCTCCAAAAAGACCCCTCCACCCCCCACATTTTCTTAGCTGTTCAGCAAAGCTGGTTCAAGCATCCCTGGAGGGAGCTTTCGTAACATTCCAAAGGGCAAGGAAGGATCTTCCACTTCCATTCGAATCGTAGCAAGCACCCTCGTCACCCACGTTTCCGTGTCCACACGTTCAGGGTTTAGGGTTTTTTAGGGATTCTAATGCATTAAACTATACTATACTATACTATACTATACTATACTATACTAGACTAAACTAGACTATGCTATGCTATGCTATGCTGGACTGGACTAGACTAGACTAGACTAGGCTATACTACATTTCTAAGGTGCAATATAGTGTGTACTGTACTACAATGTTCTGTACGATACTATCTTACTAACGTCCAATATCGTACAAGTTAAAATACGTTAGACAGTTCATGCGACTTTTTGGACTATTGTAGAGTAGACTGGACCAGACTAGACTAGACTAGACTATACGATACCCGACTACACTATACTACACCATGTTACACTATGCTATGCGATGCTATGCGGTATTGTACAGCACCATACTGTACTGCACTATATTACATTCTGCCACATTTTACGAAAACACGCTATCTATATATATATATATAGAAAAAAAATATATATATATATACACACACATATATATATATATACAGTATACTATGCCATGTTCTCCAACAGCAGCAATTTAGTACGTCTGCGGCCTGCTCCTGGCGATGCTTTGCGCCGCTGCTGCTTCTGCCAGCGGTGAGCCATTCGTCGGCAAGTATCCTCCGGACGTTCTCTTCCGAATATATGGCCTGAGTAAGTACGTGTATCATTATTCCTGAGGGTTCCTGATTCTACTTGTCGTGTAGGAGCACGGTATACGTCAAACCCCATTCTAGCTGTTCAGGCACCTCCACAAGTCTCGAGGGTTTGGCATGCCGAGAGAACAGGATCGATTTGAGATGAAGTTCGAACTGACTCTGAGGGTTCGCGGTTCTGTAATTCGAGGATTTGTGCTATTCTCTCAACTGAGCTGCAACCTTCGGAAATGACGTGCGTTGCTTCAAAATGCGCATCCCTGAAAACAGCCTTCAACCAAAATTTCGAAAATACCTTTCTCGTGAGAGCTTGCTGCTTCCGAGGCGCACTGCACTGGTCGCGTTTCTCCTGAGAGGTTCATCCTTACTTCAAAAGCAACTTGGAGTTTGAAGTACCCAGTTGGGGTTCTCCGAATGGCACTCTTACCTGAGCCTCCAACTGGGCTTCGGCGTAATCGTTTGTAGTGTTGAGCCGTAGTGTTACAGCGAGGCCCCTTCGCGTGGAATGTAAGTCGGCCTCGATGCTGAAAGCTGTTTCCAAATTCTTTCGGCATCCCATGAAGACCTGAGCCACGGTTTCTCGAGCGCACGAGTTCGGGTGTGGGGCCATTAATAAAACTTCTGGGCCAAAGGCGTTCTTCTACTGCCGCTGTGTACCTCCCTGCTTTATTCATGAAGATCGACCCGTCATTCACGTAGCTTAGATACTCGAAGAAATGAGGGTTCTCTTCATCGCCTGTACTGGTTCCCTGTTGGGGCTATATTTAAAAATGATCATTTGCAATCCTTATGGGGGTTTCATTATGATAAAATTGTAAAATGGAAGCCAACAAGGACCCAGGGTATCATCTTGGGGTCCTTATAAAAAGGATCCTACTATTTAGGGTACTACTTGGAGGCCCGGGGGACTTAGTAAGTAGGTTATAAGTAGACTTATAAGTACCCGAAATGGAGTTACCCCAATTATAACCCTACTTATAACCGACTTACTAAGTCCCTGGGCCTCCAAGTATATTAGGGTCCCCTAATTTTCGGAAACCCCTATAAGCCTCAGTCCGATAGCAGCTGGGAGAAGAGGGGCCCTGCACCGTGAGGATCCATGTCGACTTAAGCTGCCGCACCAAGGGCTGCGGTTTAGGGCTCAGGGCCCCGAATTGCGGAGCTATACATATATATATATATATATACATATATGTGTATATATATATATGTATATCTATATATATATATATGTTTATCTATATATACATATATGTATATATATATAACCATATCTGACCATTCAGCCCTCCTGGCCAGAGCAGCTGTTGCCAATCGTCTTAGTGTTGAGGATTCAGGTTTCAGGGTTAAGGGTTTTTGGTTGGGATTTAGGGATGACGAGTATTTACAACTAGGTCTGCCATGACTGTCTGAGTGTTGCCAGAATGGGTGCAACCAGCCTAGTTGTTCCTACTATGCCCTTCTAGGCCGTCCTTTCGGTAGTGCGCCCACTCTCGGCTGGCGCGTTCCTGGAGCGGCGGTTGGGATTTCGGACTTAGGGTTTGGAGCGTAAGGCTGTATCGATAGATGTTGTGCGAGTGCTTGAGAACCCAAGGACCTTTCATAAGATGGGTATGAATAATATTAATAATGATAATAATAATGGTAATATTACTTATTATTATGGTAATCGATGTAATATAACTGGCACTTACCCTTACCTGCCAGGAGCCGTCTTGCATCGTCCTTGTCCAGGGAAATACATGCCTTTCTCTGTTTACACCCTGTCCTGCTCGAAGTACACCGTCACGACATCAGAGCGAAAGACCTGTCGGTGTTATCCCGTTGTTTGAACTGCTACTGCTGTTGATGTGAGCATGTCGCTGTCGATGTTGCTTCAGTTGCCTAGCAGCAGCAGCAGCAGCAGCAGCAGCAGCAGCAGCAGCGGCGGTCGTCGTCGTCGTCGTCGTCGTCGTCGTCGTCGTCGTCGTCGTAGTAGTAGTAGTAGTAGTAGTAGTAGTAGTAGCAGCAGCAGCTGTTACTACTGCTACCGCTACAGCTACAGCTGCTGCCACTGCTCCTGCGACTGCCACTGACGACTAATTTAATCATAAGAACCTATGCCGCTAGTGGGTCCAGGTAAACACTACCAACTCCAACGAACAGAATCCCAATGTTAACACCAACGCGGCTACACTTCCGCTGAGTCTTAGATTCTCCTGTCTAAAGCACCCCCTCCCTAACCCCGCTGCAGGAGCGAACGCAAGCCTAGAAGCCCAGAACTTCAGCCCAAAGGGTCCTAGGTACTGCTATGGGGGGTACTTTCCCAAATCATAATAACAATTCCTAATATAGAAACCCTACATTCTACCATATAGGTACTTTGGACCCTTTGGGCAGGGCTGAGGAGGTGAATGGGAACCCGGAGGCACTTCCTCAAGTCCGGCTCCTCCATTTTAAACCCTGAACCCCTGAACCCCTAAACCCTACATCCTAAACCCCAAACCCTAAACCCGAACCCCCAAACCCTAAACCCTAAACCCAAAGCCCTAAACCCTAAACCCTAAATCCTAAACCCATTTAAGTTGCCCTGTTTTGAACCCGGGCTTGCCATGATCCGGAGCCGGGACCTGAACCCATCCGGGCTTTGGAAGGACCCTACTTGGAGGCCCAGGGGACTTAGTAAGTAGGTTATAAGTAGAGTTATAAGTACCCTAAATGGAGTTACCCCAATTATAACCCTACGTATAACCGACTTACTAAGTCCCCTGGGCCTCCAAGTAAAGCCTAATGCAGGGGCCTTAAATAAGTAGAATAGGGTTTGGGGGTCCTTCCTAGTATAACATAAATAAGGAGCCCCCAAAATAATGTAGGTAATTACTGAGGCCCCTGTATTACACCCTAAACCTTTTGCAAAACCCCTCAAAACTGGTAAGGCCTGCTTGTCGGGCACGAAGCCTTGGATGCTTGGAGTCTGGTCGGACTCCGATCTCATCTTGACCGGCACCAACAATACTCTTGTGAACTGAAGAAAGAAGCCCTTACTACCTAGAAGAGGGTTCCGGAGTATAATATGGTATGTTGTTTTGTTGCTGTTGTTCTTGCTGTTGTCATTCATAATGATTACCTAGACTCTAGACTCTTTGAAAGGTTCAGCCCACAGCCACAGCTCATGCACCCTCATACACCCAAATGGAGCTGAGAGGCACTGCGTCCAAAGTAGGCAGGTGTCCTGGGCTTCAGCCCCACTCGAATCCTTGGCAAAGAGGTAACGAGGCTGGAGGGGTGGCTAGGATGCAGATATCCTTACAATCGTCGATTCGTTAGCAGCAGAATCTTTGATGCGTTGCTTCAGCTGGCTATGAAAATCAGTATTGCTACACATTTCTGCCACCCCGGCTTCAATCAACCATCATCGACGTCGCTTTTATGAGAGCTGCATTGCTGGGTGCAGGGCATGCCTATCTGCATTCTTTCAGGGTGACTGCACAGCAAGGTCTTGCTGAGACTTACAGCACCATGCACCCAAGTAGGTAGGTCCCATGGCGGGCGCGACGGTTCATTAGGAGAAGTGCATACAGATAGGATACCGTCGGCATGATCTCGCCAGACGCCACACCGCCATGCCAAACACACACGAAAGACCATGAGGTTGCAGGCCCTGGAAAAGAAGCAGAAGTCTAAACCCCCCCGGACACAACGGAGCAGCAACATCACATATATTGTATACATATGGGTAGTTGTCAAAATTATGGTCCCTTTTGGGGTACCCTAAATAATAGGTGCCGTATTATAATAAGGAACCAAAAAGGGGACCATAATTTTGACAACTACCCATATATTATGTATTGCACATTGGTCGACACTCGGCACTTGGGGCTAGCACCCAGGTCCCTTGCCTGCAGGGATGCAGGTTGAACGACACCACTGCCAGTAGGGTTTTTTTAATGCAATTGCCCTTTCTCTCGCATGAGGTCCAACGGCTCACTCCATAGCAGCATGTAGGGTTTAGGGTTTAGGGAACCGGAAAAACATCTCTTCAACAAAATGCCAGTGCTGCTGTCATGTGTTGCTGTGCCGTTGATACTGCTGACTGCTCTCTGGCCACGAACCTGATTGCAGGCCCTAGACCTTTCGATTGCAAAGTTGCAGCCATTTTAGGGTTTACCTGGACCCCACATAACCTGCCTGTTGAAGGACTTAAATAAGAAAATCATAACAGGTTCTTTAGGGCAACAGGCTTTCGGGTCAAAGGGCTTGGGGTTTGATCCACAGGACTCGCCTGGCTCTCTCTGTTGCAAGCAGCTGTCACGCACCTGCTCTAGAGAATAGCTCTACATCCAAATTGAGAGGGCTCTTACAAAAACGGACGCGACCCGGCCTACCCGAAATAGTATGATCCTTGGGGCTGCAAAGAATACGATCCTTACTTCGGGTACCCTTTTGAAGAACCCTTATTAAGCTTCCGAAACCCCCGCCTTTGGTCCGGCGACATCGGAATTGCCAAGGGCGGCAAGCGCACCTTCCGTGTCTGAGCGCAGAGCCGATGAGGAAAAAGATCCGTTTTTCAGGGTTTAGGGGTTTAGGATTTAGGGGTTTAGGGTTTTGGGTTTAGGGGTTTAGGGCTTTAGGGTTTTAGGGCTCTAGGGGTTTAGGGTTTTAGGGTTCAAAGATTGGACGTTCAGAAAACCATGGGTACTTTGTCTTGTTGAGGGGGTTGTCCCAGAAAGGAATTTGTTTACTAGCGCCGGCTGCTTAGTCGGATCCCTTACTCTGTGAAACCCCGTGTGATTTCTTTCACGCTTGCGACGCTGTTAGCACCATCGGAAAAGCGATGCTTCGTCAGCTGCTTCTGCGAAACCGCCTCCACCAAGCAGAGCAGTCTTTCGAATCCCCGAATTCTGAACCATCTGAACCCTAAACCCTTAACCCTAAACCCTAAACCCTAAACCGTGAACCATCTGAACCCTAAACCCTGAACCCTAAACCCTAAACCCTAAACCCTAAACCCTGAACCCTGAACCCTAAACCCCGAATGCTAAACCCCTATAGCCCCTGAAGCCTGAACCCTAAACTCCTGAACCCTAAACCCTAAAGCCCCTGAAGCCTGAACCCTGGAGGCTCGGCCCGGAACCCAAAACTCCGAAGCCCAAACCCCAAAATAGTATTGAGTGTTGGTATTTATTTAGGCCCCTACATTAGCCCTTCCCCGAAACTGGTCCCATCAAGGCACCTTGGGACGCGGTCTCTTCGGCGAGCCTGGGAAGGCGAGAAATTTGTGGGGTCTCCGGGTGGAAGGCTCAGTAAACCCTAAACCGTAGGAGCTTGGGAGAAGCTTTTTGGGTTCCTTGAATCTGCCTGATTTGCAGAATCTAGAAAACCTTTCTCTAACTGTGGGGACCCTAAGATAGCACCCGGAATAGTAGGATCCTTATTACAAGGACCCCAAAGCAAGGTACCGTCAAGGTTGCTGGATTACACAGCTTTGTCACAAAAGCTGAAGATCCGAAGCCCCGGTCCGAGAGAGCCGCAGACGGCGCGCCACTTATGGTCAGGGCTGCGGTAGAGGGATTAGGGGTTTGGGGTTTAGGGTTTAGGGGTTTAGGGTTCGGGGTTCAGGGTTTAGGGGTTTGGGGTTTAGGGTTTAGGGGTTGTTAAGGGTTCAGGGTTCAGGGGTTAGGGCCCCGAGTTTAAGGTTTACGGCTTGGGGTATTTATCACAAAAAACCCAATGCAAACGCACAAAACCCGAAATCACGACTTCCGAAAGCCAAAGAGACAGCCGGTGTGCAGGTGGAGGCCCGGAATCGTCAGCCGAATAATGTAGGGGCCTTAATAATTTTGGTCCCATTATACTATAAATATAATAATCAGGAACCCCCAAAAGAGTATTGGCAATTATTTAGGCCCCTAAACCCTAAACCCTAAACCCTAAACCCTAACCCCTCATTAGGAACCCTCTTAAAGCTCAGAAGGGCAGGACCCAGCCTGAAGCGCTTCTTGGCGACCTGCGAGAGCCAGGGGAAGCCACGTCCCGAGTCTTAAGAAATTACATATAAAGTGAGAGATCAATGGTGTAGTGTAGGGTTTAGGGTTTAGGGTTTAGGGTTTAGGGTTTAGGGTTTAGGGTTTAGGGTTTAGGGTTTAGGGTTTAGGGTTTAGGGTTTAGGGTTTAGGGTTTAGTATTAGAATAGCAGTATAGTAGTATCTCAGTAGCATTACAAGTATCCTATCAGTACTCGTTCCTAATCCCTTCATGAAGTACAACTGTCCAATCTTTTCAGCGTTTGCTAGAAAGCCAAAACTAGCACAGTATTGCTGCCTCGCGCATGACCCCCCTAGCTTGCCGGCTCAACATGAGGTATGGTCGCCTTGGTAGCCGCGGATGGGCAGGCTCCAAGCCGCCCTGGCACAACGAAGCATCCAAAAGACACAGGGTCATGTCTGTGGAAGCTGTTGTAATTGGTGTTAACAGTTAACATCTCGGCCCTCGCATGGTATACTGTCCACTTCTTCAAACGATACGACTGTAAAACCACTGTGATACTACTGAGATACCACTATAAGACTACACCATGAATATGATACCGTACTTACACGCAGGATTGAGAACTTTGGTCAGGACCGCAAGCCCCGAGGCTCGCGGGGTAACAACTCCAAGCCGCAAAACGGTCTGTCAGGGTTTGGGGCTTAGGGGTTAGGGTCAGGGTTTAGGGGTCATGCAAGATGAGCCTGGGGTTTGGGGCTACTCGTGAGGTGGGGACATGTGTAAGTATTCACAAAGCCAAATGCACAATACGACATCACAGTTCGATGCCTTACACGATGTTATTGCCAGTGTTTGACTCTATGCCTAAGCAGCACACTCACAGAACACCCAAAATGTGCATACCTCAGTCTCGGAAATTTCGGACTGTGATTTCCACGAGTGGGGGCACCGGGGCACCTACTGCTTTGTTACACACACTACACAACAATTTGCCGGAAATAAACGTGCATTCTGCCTTATAATAAAGAAATAGTATCCTTGCAGGATGCATTGCCGTCTAACTTCGGGCCCCATACGTCCAGTCTTGACAGATCTTTCTTTACTGAAGGGGGTGCCTGGCTCTGGGGTTGAAGCTTTTAGAAGCTTTGGGGGTCGAGGGTGTAGGGTGCAGGCTCTGCTCTTGCGGATGCTCTTGAAACACCTGATGCTCCTTCCTCGTTGGGTATTAGCGATATGTCGCCTGAAAGCCATGCTGCCTTGTTCAACCACGTCGGATCCATTCAGGCCACAGCAAGAAGCACCACGACGACCACCACCGCCGCCGTTACCGATGCCACCACCACCACCACCACCACAACCACTGCCAATAACGTGATTTTCAGCGGTATAAAAAACTACCCAGAGCCTCAATCATGAACCCGCCTCAGCTAAGAGACACGTCTCCAAAAGCTTCTGTAAATGAGTAGAAGTAGGGCCCGGCGTACTTGGGCTTCAGAAACATCGGAAAGAGGAAAGAGTGAGGCTGAGTAGCGGCGTAGCGAAAACTGCGGGGTTGTGACGTCCACAACAAATGCTGCTACCACGATTGTTTTTACGACTGCTACGTGCTGCGTGCTGCTGCTACTGCTGCTGCTACCACTACTACGACCACCACCACTACGACTACCACTACCACTACCACTGCCACTCCCACTGCCACTGCCACTCTACTACTACTACTACTACTACTACTACTACTACTACTACTGCTATTACTTTTACGACTGCTACGTGCTGCGTCCTGCTGCTGCTACTACCACTACTACGACCACTACCACTACGACTACCACTACCACTACCACTGCCACTCCCACTGCCGCTGCCACTCTACTACTACTACTACTACTACTACTACTACTACTCCTGCTACTACTACTACTACTACTACTACTACTACTATACTTCCACTACTAAGACTACGACGACGACGACGACGACGACGACTACT